CCCCCGGAGGAGCTGGAGGAAGTGTCTGGAGAGAGGGAAGTCTGGGCGTCTTTGCTTAGACTGCTGCCCCCACGACCCGGTTCCGGATAAGCCGAGGAAAATTGATGGATGGATGGATAGTCTATATTCTTAATATAGTCTTCTATAACTTCTGCAAACATATGCATTGGTGAATATCACCTCAGTAGTTCCCACTAGGGTTAAGTAGTCCAGGTTGGTTAACGAGCCTGGCCTTTCTGTTTTGATGTTTGACCAGAGCTGTCACTAAAGCTGCCTCAGGCATCCCTACTGGGCATCTACCTCCATCAGCAGGGCCTAATCACACAGGCTGTTACCGCTCTACTCCCCTCCAACACGGTACTGTTTACATAAGTCATCCCACATCAGGGCAGAACTACCTTTGATCAATGTCTGTGCACAGCTCGCTGCTTTCCCTCCACCCGACTCCATGGCCCTTTCAAATCCAGCTGAGCAGCACTGCTCATGGCTGTCACCTGCCTGCCTGTGAGCACCAGCACTGACTCAGCCGGCCTGTGTGGGGAAGCATGGCCTGCCAAGGACCCAAAACACTTCTTCCTGTTAGACATTTTGTTTAATTTTGCCATAACACATCACACCCAAATCTACCGCCCTCCTCACTCTGCTCCATCTCCACTTTTGTTTTTCAGGTTTCTCTATGAGCTCTCCCAGATTCCTGACTTTGCGAGCCGGGCCCACTGCATGATCTTTCAGTCAGTATTTGTTGACACCATCTCCTCCATCCATCGCAAGGTGCAGACTATGTCTACTGTCTGCAAAGTAAGAACATCCTGTCTACAAACATCATGTCAGAAAAGTATCATTAAGCTACATGAAGGTTTACTAACCTGAAGACCATATCTGTGTCAGGAACTGCTGGAGTGTACCAGTTTGCGGGATGTGATGGGTCTTGTTCTGGCTTTTGGAAACTATATGAATGGAGGGAACAGGACTAGAGGTCAGGCTGATGGTTTTGGACTAGAAATCCTCCCCAAACTAAAGGATGTCAAGAGCAGGGTAACACACCTCTTATAAATTACACATACCTCCCCAAATCTGGTGATCAATATTAGCTAGGTAGCTACATAGAAATCACAGTAATATATTATCGAATATAAAGTATATTGGCACTCTTTGCACTCACGCAATAATTTATTTCCTCAGGACAGTCATTTCAGCCTGGTGGAGTATGTGGTTTTATACTACCTGCGTAATTTTGACAAGGTAATGTACTGTCAAAGAACTTCACAACATGTTAAACATCTGTCGCTCCACACTCATACTTCTATATTTGTTCCAGCATGCTGGCACAGAAAAGAGTGTGTTCCCTCTTCCGGAGCCTCAAGTTTTCTTCGAAGCCTCTCAGGTTAAATTTGAAGACCTCACCAAAGACATTAGGAAGCTGAAGAAAGACCTGACTGGTAGGACATGCCCTGTTGTAGAAGTACATTCATTTTTATTGTGGGTATACTGTAAATTGCATAGCACACTGCATTTTATTGCTTAGGTCATCTTTTGTAAGGAATCAGTCAGTGTAATTGTATACATTGTCATCTTTCAACAGAGCAGTTTAAATGTAAATATATTGTACTCTTCCTTTCCTGTGCAGAGAGGCTCATGGGTGTATTCAGGACCTTGGTTGGTCTGAGGCAACTTTTCCTAGTTTCCAGACATTGTAATAATCACGTCATCACAGCTCAATAACCTCTCTATTTCTAGCCAAAGAAGCACTTCATTCGTTTATCATCAGAAGCGAAATCCACCTCATTGAGGAAACATCCAAGTGACAACTGGCTAATAAATACACTATGTGGTATTCTGTGCTTAAAGCATAGTGGGCGCCAAGCCACTCGCTAAGCCAGCCAGCCCGCCAGTCAGTCTTGGCCAGGGCAATGTGAAGGTTAAAGGCGATGCCCCCCAGTGCCCCTGGTGTCTGTGGTTATTTAAATCAACCAATAATACAGCATATGAAAGCAATTAGATATGCTCCGCAGCTCTCCCCTACATTTTTTTTGGATTGCTGTTAAAGCCCCCTCCTCTCTGACATAGGAGGGAAAATACAAAGAGATTACTAAAGTACCCACACCCACCTCAAGCTGTCACTCATTCATTAGGAAAAATGGAAGACAATAAATGCAGCATAAGGACCCTTGTATTTGATCTCTGCTGCAGAGCAGTCTGGCACAGTAGTCCTCAGGGGTATTAGCATCACAGGACAAGCATTGGATTCTGGATGTTTGGTGAGCTCCACCTACATTTTTTTTTTTCTTTCTTTCCAGCAGTTGGGAATAAATATTTATGCCTGGCTATTATAAACCAGCCTAAAGAAAACAAATGGTCTTAATTATAAAGTTAACACAGATCACTTCCATCCACAGTGTGAAGACATTGAGAAGTTAACACTGGTTCACACTTTGGTTTACTTGTGCTAGTTGACTTTGGCAAGCAAGTCTGCCTGCCCTTCGCCTGATCCTGAAGTGGCAACTGCAGTGGTCACTTTGTCTTGCCCTCCAGCTTTGGGTCAAAGATCAGGAGACTTGGTGCTGGCAGTCAGAAATTCTTCCCTTCCACCATCAGACTTCTGTGTGTGGACCCATGGGTGCTGTCCTCATGCAAATGTCATACAGCTATGGTATTTTAATCTTCACGAGTGTGTGTGTGTGTGTGTGCAGGAGTAACAGTGTGCTTCACTAGTCATCAGTGGTGGTGCTCAGGAGGAGTGGGTCCTCTGTTCGCTTGACTGCCCTCTCCTTCACTGGTTGGTGCAGAAACATGATCCTCTTTTGATGGGGCTTCCTGTTTGGAGAGAAGGTGATGACCTCTCTCTGTGCTCCTCTCAGAGGGAGAAGGATGAGTGGGAGGCCACAAGGACCTAAACCTACTATAGCACTCACAGCTACCATAAAAGCAAATATTCTCTATTCTCTGTCAGTATTAATGTGTAACTGTGCCATCAACTTTGGCTCCAGGAAAGACTACACTTCAAAATCTTTACAATCCTGTACACCTTGGGCTCTATCACAATAAGTTGTTATTCATACTTAAAGTTGCATTTTCAGATTCCCTTTTTCAGGCCAATGATCATCTACATAAAGCTCCCTTTAACCGCCGTGTAATTGGACCGGCCGGAGAAGGAGGGATGCTACTAAATGAAATAGGATCAATAAAAAAAAAACAGAGTTCATTTGCTGCTCAGGTGAGTTTAGTGTTTCACAGAAGGCCTGGTCCAGGTTAGGCATTCATCACTGTAGCAAATCAGACAGTGTCCTGATATTAAATGGCCTTTAATGTCAAGTTCAGGTAGGGCCTTTGGCCTGAGGTCTGTTTTACGATGGAGGTGATGCTCAGAGGGCTACAAGTGTAGTCAGCGGGCTGAGGTAATTTCACTGTCTAACCAAACAACAAAATTAATACAAAATTTGGGGCTTTTTGTCATTGATTGGTTGCAGATGATGGTGTTTGATCCTTAATTTTGGATCATCTCTCTATCAGTCTGTCATTACTGCAACTTTATTTTTATTAGATCTGTCTGCATCGCTGTGTTTTAGCATGTCAAGGCAGTTGGATGAATATAGATAAATGTAGCAGAGTGATTGTAATCATCATAGCATTAACCATTTTATCATGAAGCGGGTTCAGAGTGATTTTTATGCATCTTGCATTCAATTTTAAACACAACTGTTAATTCTCCACCACATATTCCTGCCTCATGTTTTTATCTGTCAGCACTGTATTCTTGAGAATAAATGTAGAACAGGTTTGGAGTTTGATGGATATGGTTTGATTTATGAGGACTGGAAAACGGAGGCAGTTTCTTGGCTGGCCTCATCAAGGGAAAAAGCAGGCTTCAACCCATAGGACAGAGAGCTGGAAGTCTGACGGTCTACAGGGATTGTAGATAATTGGGGGTCAGAGAGAGAATTCACTTTCCAGGCATAAATAACTAGAATATGCCAAGGCTGGACTACTGAACTGGTTTAACCTCTTATGAAAGACTTTAAAATATAAAATATTTTCCAAAGCACCTTGTCCAAACAGGTTCACCATCTGATTCTTCATACAGATATTTGTAAAATTAAAAATAAGTATATTTAAAATGAATTATTGCATTAATTTGAGCTGTGGTTCAGGTGGCAACAGAAGGAACTGCCTGTGTATTAAGTGTTTCCCAGCCTCCCCCTTTCTGCAGTAGCTCTTACTTGTTTGTTCCCTTGGTTTTTTTTCTGCTTTATCATGATCTAGAGCATCAATGATGGGAGGTGGCGGTGCATTTATGGCCACATTTCTGAGACCAAAACATTCACAAAGCAGGTAGTTCTCAAATCTTGTGGTGTTTCGCAGCTTCACTTTTCACCGTTACAGCATTTTCTCTGATACACATACACAGTATATGCTTGTGTATTGTCTTGGTAGCTGCAGTGGAGGGCTCTTGCATACTAAATCATAATAAATATGTAAAAGTCACCCTTTTTCCAACACACACAGGGTGAATCTTAGAGCAGAAATCTGGCTTTCTTAGTTATTTTTCTTCTCGTTTACTCCATCACCATCGTCCCTCATGTTACACAGTAGCTGGTCAACTCTGTCCAGTTCAGATATGATGGAAAGCTGTGTTCCTCCATTCATATACCATTGATGCATGTTACTAAGTGTTGCTTGCACACCTCAGGAAATGATCTCTGTTTCAGACCGTTTGTCCCCATGGTATGGCATACTGTACCTGTGAACTTGTAGGATCTATTTGCACAAAGTTGTTCAAATCAGACCTTTAATTTCCTCTGGTTTACTGGTTTTCCTCAATCCCTAACACTTGTTAACCAGATATCCACCACGACAACTGATTTACAACTGTACGAAAATACACAACTTCTGCTTAATGATTTGAATAATGTCAGTAGTTCAAATAATGTCTTGAAAATGCATCAGCGCCCCAGTTCCAAAGGCACTGAGCCCAGTGGTAATAGTGGAAGTGCTTTAAAGATCAGATCCCTTGCTCCCATCATTATCCTGTCAGTCTGTGGTGGGAAACTGCTTCCCTGTGGCCGCATGACTGGACAGAGAGCCTGGTGTGGCTGCTGGTTGTACAGTTTGTCTCATGTCACGATGGCACTGCAGCTGCTGTTGTGAAATGAAAAATCAGCTTTGTGATTCCCATTGTACTGCACCATACCCACTGTGTGCGTGATGTCAGTGGTTTGACTCCAACCTCCGACATCTGTCTCAGGTGTCCCTCTGTTCCTCTCCATGATGTACTGTCAATAAAAGGTAAAAATATGTGGGAGAAAAACTTTACAAAGGTAAAATACTTTACATTTAAAAGCATAGAAACACAGAGCATCACCACTTTTTTCTCTTTTGCTGCATCAGATTTCTCAAGCTTTGTCTCTTTAAAATTTGTGTGACCAACATAGTAACTTTCAGCATTCCATGAATACATTAAGTCTTCATCTCTGACAAAGGAAAAAATGTTAAGGTCTAATCTGATACGTAGTGTCAGTCCTTTACTTGCAGGAAAACCCTGTTTTTCAATGCATTCATCCAAACTGCAGCTTTTGACTTTTTATTCTTTACAGCTGCTGTGTTTTTGTGAGCTTCCTCTTTGTGGCCTTTGCTGTCTGGACCACATTTGGAAGAGAGCCACCTCTAAATTGTAGATTTGCTGTTTTGAACACTGTTGTAATGGGTTCTATTGAGTCTGGGGATTTCTGGTAAAGAAACGTGGTTTGTCCAGACAGGATATTTTGATTGTCATGCTTGCATGGTTACAGATTTCTGTCTTTTTATTTTGTTAACTGCTGGCTCTCACTTTCCACAGATAATAAAAGCATCATGGAATCCAGACTGTGAGGCTATATGGAGTTACTCCTCACCTTTAATGCTCAGCCGTTGTGTTTTCCTGTCTGTTTTATTAAGACATCCAATAAATAAAAGCTATAATAAAGTGAGTTTATTGAGCTACAGGTGCAACGGTCCCATGTGCAAACGTGGGAGCCAAACTCAGATCTAAAAGCAGCAAGGTAGTGAGGTGAGACAGCAGCTAGACCTGTTTAAAGCTCTTGCTTGTATTGCAGAACTATTTAGCTATACAGCTATAAGCAAGTTAAGGTATTTATTGCAGGTTGGAATTTCTTACGCCAGACATCTATGTATAGTAATGCAGGCTTACAGTTGAGAGGAAGCAGGCAAAGGTTTGGCTGGAACATGCTCAGGCCTGAGTTCGTGTGAGTTGCGTCATGTGGCACTATAATGAAAAACCCATCCACAAATCAGAATCAGAATAGTCGTTATTGTAATTGTGTGTGAGAGAACCTAATTTTATACTGTGCAACTACATGATGGTATTAATTAGTTTTCTCACTTTTTTAAATACATCCCTAAATGACTTTTACATTGTAATCTTTTCTTTTTCAGCTGCTTGAAATCCTCCGTTCTCGTTGTTTCTGCCCGTTTGGTCACTTATCAGCTGTCTCTGTTACCGTTTCTGTCTTCTCTTCCAGCTTGTGAGAAAGAAGTGCAGCAGGTGTGTGTCAACTCATCAGAGGAACATCTGCAGCCGTTCAAGGAGAAGATGGAGGGATTTATCTCTGCTGGTGAGTCAGTGTGAGATTCTCCCTTTTATATGTAACAACACTGGAAAGAAATGTCAGTGTGGAAGCGACATCTCACATATTGTATGCTGGTCACAAATATGCAAGAAAATATTCACTTATAAATTTTCCTTTAATTGTATAGGTAGTTGATGAAATGTTCTACATAATATTTTTTGGAAAAATAGTCATGAACACAGGAGTTGTCGCATATGATGTAGAAACTGAAAAGTGCAGTGCAAATCCAGGACACTAATGGCCAAAACAAACACTGTAGGACAGCATGAAGACAGGAGTCAGCAGAGCTGCAGAAGTGATCACATTGCCTCCAACATGGTTCTTGTGTACCCTCGGCTTCCATAAAGCTTGTAAGACACCGCTGGAGGTGGCCTTGCAAAGAGTAGACAGCCACAGTGGGTCAGTCCTCTGGACGACATGGACACACCCTGATCATCTCACCGCCTGTCCCCTTTCTGATCTCGTCACTGGTGCTTTCCTGCTCTCGTCCTTACCAGGCTTTATAGCAGTTATAGTAGACACCCACAGGGCTTTCGGCTCCACAGGTTTGCTACATGCAAACCTTATTCTGTATCTAAACAAGTGCCATTAGGGCACTTTACGTTTGCCACAGAGAGCTCTATGTCCTGCTGTCACATCACTTCACCCAGTTGTGCCTGGATACATGGTAAATGTGGCACCAGGTTAGGAAGCCACCTGCTTGATCTCTCTGTCCTTATGGCTTTGCTTCTGATGCTACTGGATTTGCACTCAGCGAAAGACATACACACCCTTTAAACTTCCGGAGGGTTCAGTAATTACACAGGAGTCTATGTGCATAGAAGGAAAGGGTTTATTGAGCACACTGGGTAGCTGAGTGGTTTCCCTGGGCGGCCTTGTGCAGATACACATTGGTGTGAGCAACATAAGCATATTGCAGGATTTATTGTGCATATTATAAAAAACTTTTTTCTCTTGTCTTTCTTACCTCTCATGGTATCTAGCCATGCAGATTATTTGTTAGATTTTGGCTTGATGTCAAGGTCAAGGTCAAGGTGAAAGTGTTTATTTGTCATATGCACAGTTAGGAAACGTGTTTCCCTGTACAATGAAATTCTTACTTTGCCATCCACACGAATGCCACAAAATACAAATGAAATATAAAGTAGATAAATAAGTAACACAAAATCTAAGGCACTTTAAGCAGCAAAAATGCAGCAATATAATAAAAATATAGCAGGGGGAGGCAACTGTGGTGTGGTGGGTAGAGCAGTTGTCTCCCAACCAGAAGGTTGAAGGTTCAAATCCTGGAGCCTGCAGTCCACATGTCGAAGTGTCCTTGGGCAAGACACTGAACCCCCCTGTTGCCCCCTGATGGTTAGAACCATCGGTTGAGTTGGCGCCACAGATGGCTGCCATCGGTTCTGTACCGGAAACAAATTCCTTATGTGGAACATTCTTGGCCAATAAAGGTGATTATCCTTATCCTTATTATTATATATAAGAATATAATAAAAGAATGTATGCTGCATGGGAGCAGCATGTGCAGCAGTCAACAGTCAATGTGCAATTATGCATGTGCAAACTGAGAATGTAGACAGTACAGGTAGACAGTACATGATGTATTTCCTGGTAATAAACTCCTCAGCTGTTTAGGAGTCTGATGGCAGAGGGAAAGAAAGAGTTTTGTGTAGTAGTAGTGCTGCCATACCGCACAGTGATGCAGCTGGTCAAGATGCTCTCGACGATACAGGTAAAGAAGTTGCAAAGGATACTAGGCGACATGCCAAACCTCCTCAGCCTCCTCAGAAAGTACAGCCACTGTTGGGCCTTCTTGACCAGCTGTGTGGTGTTAAGTGACCAAGTAAAGTCCTCACTGATGTGGACACCCAGGTATTTGAAGCTGCGCACCTTCTCCACTTTGAGCCCCCGGATGAACAGTGGCCGATGAGATCTCCTCTCCTTTCTCATGTCCACTATCATCTCCTTCGTCTTTTCCGTGTTGAGGCTGAGATTATTGTCCTTGCACCATGACACCAGACTGGCCACCTCCCTCCTATAGGCTGCTTCGTCCCCGTCAGTGATGCGACCTATCACTGCGGTGTCGTCCGCAAACTTTAGGATGATGTTGCCTTTGTGGGAGGCGACACAGTCGTGGGTGAACAGTGTGTAGAGGATGGGACTGAGGACACATCCCTGTGGGGTGCCAGTGTTCATAACAATGCTGGCTGAAGTCCTATTGCCAATCCTG